CTGCTCTTTGGGCGGGGGGCTGGACTCGATGATCTTCCAGCCCTAATGTCTATGAAATCTATGGAGAATTACTGAAATAGCTTCTTTGTGAGGAATGGAAGGGTCGTTTAGTGGAATAACAAGCAAACAATTATATGGTAAATTATATTTATATGCAATATGATATTATTGTTTAAAGCCAGCATTGTAAGGTGATCAGAAACTGAACTCTGAAGTACATGTTACTAAGTATTTCAGTAGTCAGGTTTGATTGCACTTTTTTTTCCTATAATTTAATCTGTATCAAATCTGGACCTTTATATTTTTACAAAGTGCCTTATTCTCCCCTAAACCAAGAGGTCAAAGATGGACAATATTTCTAATCACAGGGGTGTCCTGGTAGAACCTCACTACCCTGAAAATCATCCTGCCACTCAGAACCTGGCCAGCAGCTGAAGCGTGGCTCTGGCTGGCCAGGCTCCAGTTTTGGCCAGCATGTGCTGACCACATATGAACCACCTCACTTTTTGGGGGGGAGGGGAGTGGGTTGACCCTGGGATCTTCCATGGTCAAAAAACCATACCACGCTTCTCCTTTGCCACATGAATGCCTGAATGTATGTATGTGGCGATGCAAACGTATCTGCATCCCGAGTGTTTATTTCAGATGATGACACACAAAATGAAGAGAATTCAGTGGAGGCACATGAGAGAATCTTTAAGTTCGGCTAGACCAAAACTACAAAAACAAAATGATAAATATTTTTATCCTTATGTAGTTTTAAGAACTCATAAACTAGATGGCTGTCAACAATGGACCACATTCTCAACCTAAGATCCCTCTTACACCAGTAGCACAAATGTGAAATTCTTTGGATGTATTGGCCAGTTGAGACATGCCTAGAAGATAGGATACTCTCAACCCACATTAAGGCAGAAAAGCCAGTGTTCCCAACACATTTGCTTACTGTATTCAGGGTCCTGTCAAAAAGAAACAATCCTCAGGTGACATAAGGCTCCTTACCAATCATAGCCAACTCTTACTATTTAGAGCGCCCACCAGGTTGTAAGTATGCTTCAATGAAGGAGACAATTTAGCCCTATGTCTTTGACACTGAAACACAACATAGTTGAATTTATATTGTATGCACTCATTTTGGATCTCCGTAGCATAGGGAAGCAATTTGGCTTCTTAAACTCACAGAAGGTTAAATTGTTATATATAACATATAAATATACATATATAAGTAAATTGTTATATATAACAATTCGGGCTGAATTACCTAAAAAGCTACAACATTCCATTGAAAATGGGTCCTTTCCTTCAATAAGAGAACAAACCTCAATCATTATCATTACAAAACAGCTTTACAAATATAAGCAGCCTTGGATTTTATTGATTTTAAAGACAAATGAAACTGAACCATGATTTCCTAACTTCAAACAAGTAAATGCAGCTTGTTAAGTCACAGACTCATCTTTTTCTTGTCATTATATGGCCATTTTGCAACTGATGGGAAGTGAGCGTAACAGGAACAAAACAAACTTTGAAGTTTTTGTGGGTATAAACACTCAGGAATACCCACCTCACCACAAACAGAAGCCATATTTTTAAACTAGAGGGTTAATTACATTTGAAAAACTGAAATCAAGAACAGTAGGGGCCATATAAACTTTTTTTTCTTCCAGTTTTGCTGCAGC